TTTTTTTTTTTTTTTTTTTTTTCTCTCTTTTCTGTAAAATATAAGTTTCTAAATTTGTTATCGTCAAGCAAATGGAGAGTAAAAAATAACAAAGTCTTAAGCATGTACTGTAAGTTTTAAATTATACATTCGTGGCTGTTGAATAGTGAAAATAAACGGATTGTTTCTAACGAAATGTATCGTACAATGTCATGTATGATCACGGAATGATTTTTAAATTAATGTAAAAATTGTACAGAATTAAAACAGAAGTTTCAACTTGTCTGTAAGTGAATAAAATTTTTATTCTGAATAATTAATGACAGTTTGAAGAGTTGAAACCGATAGAACTATTTTTGGAAAGTTTGTTAACCGCTTGTTTCGCAAAGAAAGATAATGGATTTTCCAAAAAGAATTGTACAAATAAAGCTAATCTGTGCCAATACTTTCGTTCATGATCGTCGCATATTCATGTTCGATTAATCGTGTAACAATACGATTGTAAACAATGCGATTCATTATTTATCATAGTTTATCATCAATCAATTGGGCAAATTAAATTAAATTTATTTGTTGATTTATTCTCTGTTCGTAGGTTATGATAAAAAAGTTAATATTCGTTCTCTAATTGGTTTATTAAATAATAATTGCATTCTTTGGTGAAATTAAAACCTGATCAGAGCAAACCTCTCTATGTTGCAAGATAAATGGTGTCACGTAGGTCAGAGAATAGTAGATGCTTCTTTAAGAATTCATTGATATGTGTCTTCGTGTTAACTTCTCAATAATACTTATCATTGGAATTTTAAAAAAAATTTTTGTCAAAGTAAAAGTCGAAAGAGAAATTGAAATCCACTTTAATTTCACTGTTTGCTTTACTTTCAATTTTACTTGCCTCTATTTTACTTTACTTTAGTTTATCTCTCCAATTGATTGAAAAATTAAAGGAAGTGAAATTTGAGAAAAGAATTGAAAATTGAAAATTGTGGAGTAAATTGAATTAATTAACGATAAAGATTCTGACTTTTTTTTTTATACTTTTTAAGGAATTTTGCAATGTTTTCCAATTTTCATTCTCTTATTCAACTTATTCTGTTCAAAATTTCAACTTTTTAACTTTTCAGTCTTTCAATGTTTCAGTTTTTATGAAACTAATATTTTTGAGAATTCTGATATCTTTTAGAAATTTTCAAAATTTTCTTCATTCTTTTAAAGTCTTTTTAAAGTTCATCCTTTTACCAAGTTCACCCTTTAAACTGATAGTTTTTGATATAATCTCATTTCACTGAAAATGCGATTCACGCGCGGATAGAACGGTGGAGGAATAGAATGCTCGTGGATTTCCTCTAACATACGAGATATGTATGTGAAATTTTATTTTTTTTTTTTATTTTCTTGTTTGCAGGGGAACACGTTGAATTTCGGCCTCACCGATCCGACAACACGGTCTATCTATGAAATTTAAGTACATATATATATATATATATGTGAGTTGAAGCTTCCTTTTTTTCTTTTTCTTTTTTCTTTTTTTTCTTTTTTTTTTTTTTCTTGCATTTTATGTTGCACGCACATCACGAGAAATAATAACAGTTAAACTTAAACGTAGGACATCATTTACAAAATTTAAGATAGATCACAGATTCTAATACTAGGATGTAATAATTTGAGGCGATATCAATCAGAATGTTTGAATGAAAAATGATATGCAGTTCTGAATATAAGTCTGAGATTATACGTTTAACTTCGAGCGTGCTTTATTTATAATTGCCAATTGTTCGAGAACAAGATAATTCTTTAATAATCATTTTAAGTTACTAGAGTACTTAAGTAGGCACACAAGCAAGGAAGTATTAATAGGCGACGGGACCATTGTATTATATATAAAATATTTATTACTTATATGCTAATTCAATCTAGTATTATATTTAGAATACTTTGGAAGTTTCTTAATTTTCGCATATCGATCGGTCAAAGTTTCAAATTGCGTTATAATAACGATAGATTATATTTCAAGTGTATTTTTAAAGTTTTAAATCCATAATCGGTGAAAATTTTCGAATTTGTTCACACAATTTACAACATCTTCAGTTTTGCAAATTTCCAGTAATTTCTACGTAAAATGATGCTACTATACCGATCGAATCGAATTTCAATTCGAAGTTAGAGGATTAATCTCAAATTTATGATCAGCAGTGTTTACGACTAAGTGCATGCAACAAAACCGTAAATTGCTGTTAACTCAGAAATGCAATGTTTCATTATCTCATACATTAACGACTGCTCTTTCCTTCTATTCGCTACGATTGATCTTAAAAAATCGAAAAATCGATCAGTATGGTGCCTTTTCTAAAATTTCAATGAATTTTAATTGAAGAAAAAATGGGAAAAAAAAGAAATAAATCGAACGCTCGTATTCGATCGTTATAAATATCCATTCTCTTTACATTATTTAGTGTCCATACTAAAATATATACGTAATTAATATGTTACCGTAATAATGATCGACTCGTTTCTTTCCTAACTCTCGATTCTTATTTCATTTGTTTTTATTATCATGAGGTAAAATATGCAAATAGTCAGCCTTGGAGGTTTAAAGCCCGTTGTTTTGAAGAATATTGTTCGTTCTGTTCGACCATCATACTCACCGTCTCTTTACACATTTTTTTTTATTGTTTTATTGCAATTTT